TTTAGTTAGCAGCCATAGCTCTTAACCACTATGCCACCAGTGTTTTCATAGGTTTTTTAAAAGCTTTAGTATCAAATAGCATGAAAAACTAGAATTTGGTTTTCTCTTAGGTAAAACGAAAAATAGTTTTTAATTACTGGGTTGCTCTTAGAAAGAGCTTGTAAAGCCTTACCTTTATGGTCTTCGAAATTTGCCTAGAAGGCAAACATTCTATGTCTTTTCATAATAAATTCCTGATCTTATGTTAACTTTATCATGTCCTCAATTGCTTAAAAAAAGGTAAATCCTCTCACTTATGAAAAGCTGAGTTTTTTTATTTTTTACAATCATTTTACCTCCTATATTAATTTTTAAAATGCTATTATTGTCACTTTGGTTATATAGATATCCAAGTACTGTTTTTCCATGACTTGTGATTCTATTTAACCAAATGATAAAACCTCTCAAAATCTAATCCTAAATTATGGGTTTATATCTAAAATTTGTCTTTTGGCATTTCCCAGCATGCCCTAAGAAAAAATCTCAAAAGATTTGTTTTCTTTCTATTTGTTAACAGAGAGGTTGTAAAAAATATTAGACATTTTTTTGACATGCTATGAAGCACATGGGGAGTGTTATCAAATCAGAAGAGGGCCTTACAATATTTTGGGAGCTCAAGAAGAGAGGAACTCCCTCAAATCTGTGAGTTCTACAAGTAAAAGCTGATGGCAGGCAAGTTCTTGACTTGGCTTCCTAACTTTGAGAGATTTTTATAAATTCAGTCTGAGATTTCTTAAGAAAACATTCAGCAGAGCAAATATAAGAGGCCTATGTGATAAATTGCCATTCTTGCTGCACCTGTGTAGATACTTACGACCAACTTCCTTGTTATGGATTGAATTGAGTCTAGTCTGTATGGAGCTTGAGTGACACAAACAGTTTGTATCTGCTGCTAAAGTAAAGGTGGACAGTTCCAACCTACCCAGTGGCACCATTGAGCAAAAGTACTGCTGATCTAGCAGTTGTGCTTTGCAACACATGAGTATCTCAAGAGTCAGAGGCTGACTTGATTCACCTAACAACAAGATATCTAGTCTAAACTGTGTAGCCCCATATGCCTATTTTATATTCAGGGCTGTATTTAATAATAGTCAAGGTACATATCCATTTCTCTGAACTTACTTTATTAAGAGCTCAAATAACTTTACTCCCATCATATTTCAGGGAAGGACTCTTGTGAAGTATGGAATGTGGAGGCCAGTGATCCAGAGTCAGTAACTCACCTGAGTCTCACAAACCCTTTGGCTGAGTAAAGCAGATGTGATTCTCTCATTTTAAAGCTAGTTCAAGTGCAGCTAGAGAAACCATGAAAGAACGTGGCTCCCCTGGCTGACCATGAAGGTGAGCAGAGCCAGAGATGCTGGAAGGACCAGGGCCAAGGCTCCCCTCTGCCTAGGGAAGTACACCCTCCACCTGGCCTCTCATTGGCTATTCTTCCCAGGCAGGGGTTAAAAAGCAGTGATTTTTAGCGTGTGAGGCACATGCAATCTCTATTTGCATTCTGCTCCTCCCTGGTGCTAGGTTCTGAGCTGCATAAGCGTCTGCTGCTCCTGCTGCTGGACCTCTCCTTGCTGTTGGGCTTTCTGCAAGGTAAGCTTCTGGGGACATCTGGAAGGACAGTGGAGGCTGTGTCTATATGAGCAGAACCCACACAGGTGGCTGTGGATTGTTGGTCCAACCAGTTGTGAGGATGCAGGTGGAAGGATGATCCTGACCTTCCCGTTTAAGGTGGTCCCCACAGCCTCCATTCCACTCCTACTTGTTTTCCTCCTTCTGTGCCTCTACTGTCTTTTTCTTTCTTCTTCACTTTAGACCCGTATTTGCTCCTCTTCATTTCTTCCTCTTTTCTCTCTTATTTCACTTCAGGCTCAACCCACCTTCCAAGTTAGTACTAATTCATGACACTCCTAAATTTCTCAAGCTTTCTTTCTTAGAACCCTAAATTTGAGTTGAAAAGGATTTAGGAAGGTGCTTTGTGAGTGATGAGGACAGATGAGGGTTATTCTGAAAGAACTGAGAAGAGGGTTCTCGCATCACAGGATGTGAGATCTGGGGAAGCTGCAGTGTAGGTCATCATTTTCTCCTTCCAGCAACACAGTGCGTTTTAGGAAACTTGAGTACCTCTGAGTAAACGGATTCTGTCTGTGCACTGACACAGGCCTTGTCTCCAGAGGCACTCATACCTCCTCTTCAAAAAGGCCCTTGGTGCAAGCCCAAGGATGATGCAGAAGAGGCTTCACTGGTGTAAGCCAACCACAGAGAAATCAAACTACACTTTTAGCAAAATAATCTATGCCAACCTGTGTGTGGATCTGACCATTTTTCATGCTAGGTGTGGGCCAGGTGGCAGGCACTGTCTCC